CATATGAGAGTATTTTTTTGTCTTTGGTATTAGAGCCACAGTCTAACGACGGGTTCTTGAAAAGATACTCGAATGGCTTCTCTATCTTCAATAAGAAATTCAGATGCTGCTAGAATAATTCAAGCAAGCAAGACAATTAATCCAGGGAGTAAAGTCTCAATTGTTAGATTGAATGATGATAATYATCTACTGTGGAAATTTCAAATTCGCACCGCACTTCAAGGAAATGGATTAGAAAGTTACATTGATTCGAATGAAGATACTCCTGCTCAATTTGTTCAAACCACAGAAGATGAAAGTTCATCCTCTTCTCTGCAACAAAATCCGGCGTATTTTGAATGGATTAAGCAGGACAAACTCATCTCTGCTTGGCTTCTTGGTTCGATGAATGAAGACATTTTATCACAAATGCTTGATTGCAAATCGGCGAGAGAAATCTGGACAGTTTTGGAATGCATGTTTGCTTCTCGCACCCTGGCTAGGGTAATGCAATTGAAATTGAAACTGGAAAATTTCAAGAAAGGTAATCTGAGCCTCAAGGATTATTTTCTTAAAATCAAGAATTTGGTTGACTCCTTAGCAATTGCGGGTAAGAAGCTGTCCACAGAGGATCACATTATGCACATTTTAGCTGGCCTCGGACCTGAATTTGATGCGATTATCTCTGTTATTACTGCTCGAAATATGCCACAAACACTTCAGGAAGTCTGCTCACTTCTTCTTCAACAAGAAGGTCGAAATGAAAGGAATCTCATCAACTCTGATGGATCGCTTCCTTCGGTTAATCTTACTCTCAATGATTCGAGCAAGAAAAACAATTTGCATCAGTCAAAATGCTTCAATCCCCATCAGTCAAATTATTCTCAGCGGGGACGTGGTACTAACAACAGATCATCGAATCGTCGGAATTGGACCGGAAATAACAAGCCACAATGTCAGATTTGCGGACGATTTGGTCACACAGCTCTGCGGTGCTATATGCGATTTGAGCGTAATTTTCTTGGTCCAAATATGAACCCTAATACTTTTTCTCCTGCGGGCTTTTCATCTGGATTTCCTCTCAATACTCCAAGTCACAATGCTTTCTCATCGCCTGCTACTCAGAATGGAAATTTTTCCATGAATAGTGCTTCTCCTTCACAGATGCAAGCATTGATGGTCGCTCAAGACTTCAACAGAGACTCTAATTGGTACCGTGACTCTGGGCCGACTAATCATGTTACAAATGAATTTGGAAACTTCTCACTTGGATCTGAGTATCATGGTGATGGTAAAATTCAAGTTGGAAATGGGACAGGTTTGGACATCTCTCACACTGGCTCTACCTATCTTCAACCAAAAACCTCTTTACATCCTGTCAAACCTGTCTTTCATTTGCGAAATCTCTTACATGTTCCTCAAATTGCCAAAAACTTAATTAGCGTCAGTCAATTCTCTCAAGATAATAAGGTGTTTTTTGAATTTCATCCTTTTCATTGTTTTGTGAAGGATATCAAAACTGGCCAGCTGCTTCTTCAAGGGAAAGTTCATGAAGGGTTATATCAATTCGAGTTGCAAAAGGCTTCATCTCCACCTTTATCCAATGTCAGTTTGAATCATCCCTCTCCCTGTAATGATTCTTCCACTGTTCTTACTACAACCTTAAATTTTTCTGATTCTCCTATGTTGCATTCTCCTATTGTTTGTAATTCTTCTGCTTTAGATATCTGGCATAGACGATTAGGTCATCCGGCTTTCTCTACTGTTCAACATGTATTGCGTCTATGTAATATTTCTGTTTCTTCAAATAAAATACATTCTTTGTGTCATGCGTGTGCTATAGCTAAATCTCATAATCTCCCTTTTCAATCCTCTCAAACCCAATATCATGCTCCACTCCAATTGGTTGTTGCAGATTTATGGGGTCCGGCCTTTGTGTCTTCACGCAATGGTTTTCGCTATTTCATTAGCTTTGTTGATGCTTATTCTCGTTATACATGGATTTATTTTCTGCATAATAAATCTGAAGCCTTTCAAGCCTTCTTATTGTTTAAAAATCTTGCTGAAAAATCCTTGAACTGTTCCATTCTCCGTCTTCAAACGGATGGTGGTGGTGAATTTCGTTCCTTTGCTCCTTTTCTTCAAAACAATGGTATTGAACATCGCATGTCATGTCCATATACTTCACAACACAATGGCCTTGTCGAAAGAAAACATCGTCAAGTTGTTGATATGGGTCTTACGCTCTTATCTCAAGCTTCCATTCCGTTGTCCTTCTGGGATAATGCTTTTTCCACCGATGCTTATCTCATTAACAAACTTCCCACTACGGCTCTTCATGGACTTACCACTACTGAAAAGTTGTTTGGCCGTCCCCCTGATTATTCATTCTTGAAGACTTTTGGTTGCTTATGTTTTCCTTCCCTTCGTGCCTACAATAATCATAAAATCTAATCTCGATCTATTCCTTGTCTTTTTCTTGGTTATAGTTCTCATCATAAAGGTTACAAATGTCTCGCTTCTACTGGGCGTTTGTATATATCTCGACATGTTCGGTTTGATGAACAATGTTTTCCATTTTCAAAACTATTTCCTTCTTTCGCTACTGCCTCTTCTTCTAGTTTTTCCTCTTCTATCCCAATTGTTTCTTCAACTCCTTATTGTAATTTTCCTTCCTCTTCTTCTTCTCCCTCTGCCACTCCTCCTTTAATATCTAATCCTTCTATACCTGCTGCACCTATGTCTCCTACCAGTCCTATTCTGCCACCTCCACCTCTATCTCCACCTCCACCTCCTCCAAACTCTAATGTTCCAGTTTTAGAGACTGCTCCTTCTCTGCCCCCTTCCAATACACACACTATGGTTACTCGATCCAAAAATGGGATATTCAAACCCAAGGCATTTTTTAGTCAGTATCTGGAAATTGAACCTCCTACAGTCAATGAGGCTTTACATTGTGAACACTGGCGGGTAGCTATGAAAGAGGAATATGAGACTCTTCTACGTAATCAAACGTGGTCTCTAGTCCCTCGCCCCATTGATAAGAAAGTCATAGGATGCAAGTGGGTTTATAAGATTAAACGAAATTCAGATGGCACAATTGCTCGCTATAAGGCTCGTCTTGTAGCCAAAGGATTTCATCAGGCAGCTGATATTGATTACACTGAAACGTTTAGTCCAGTTGTGAAACCTATTACTATTCGGGTATTACTGACTCTTGCTCTCTCTAATGGCTGGTCTTTGAGACAGGTTGATGTCAATAATACATTCCTTCATGGTTTTCTTTCGGAAGATGTCTTGATGGCCCAACCACCTGGTATGGAAGTTTCTGGTACTGTTCCTTTGGTTTGCAAGCTCCATAAAGCTTTATATGGGCTGAAGCAAGCACCACGGGCGTGGTTTGATCGACTAAGTCAGTTTTTACATACTCTGGGCTTCTCTAACTCTCGAGCTGATACCTCACTTTTGGTTAGACATACTGCTTCCTCTCATTGCTATGTTCTGGTTTATGTGGATGACATGATCATAACGGGTAGCTCTCAATCTGATATTGATAGTCTTGTGGCTGCTTTGCATGCTCAATTTTCTATTAAGGATCTTGGAATTTTGAGTTACTTTTTGGGTATCGAAGTCTCATATCCAGAGGCTGGAGGATTATTTTTGTGTCAATCTAAATATATTTCTGACCTCCTTCATAAGACAAAAATGCATGAGTCCAATCCAATTGCTACACCAATGATTAGTGGCAGTGTTTTGTCTGCTTTTAAGGGTGAGAAATTTGCTGATCCACATTTGTATCGTAGTACGGTTGGAGCTCTACAATATGTCACCATTACACGTCCTGAGCTGGCGTATAGCGTTAACAAGGTGTGTCAATTCATGCATGCTCCAACTACTCTTCATTGGCAAGCAGTTAAACAAATCCTTCGTTATCTTAAAGGTTCATTTGATCATGGACTATATCTTCGAAAGCCTATTGATCTTCATCTTCAGGGGTTTGCAGATTCAGATTGGGCGTCGGATCCTGATGACTGACGCTCCACATCCGGGTTTTGTATATACTTGGGAGGCAACCTTATTACTTGGTCTTCGAAGAAACAACCTATTATCTCCCGTTCCAGTACTGAGGCTGAATTCCGAAGCCTAGCACATGCTACTACTGATTTGATATGGGTTCAATCCTTATTTTCTGATCTGCACTTGTTTCTTCCTCGATCCCCTACGCTGTGGTGTGATAATCTAGGGGCTGTTCACCTCAGTGCAAATCCAATTCTCCATTCCCGAACCAAACATGTCGAGTTGGATATATATTTCGTTCGGGATTTGGTTCTTCAAAAGAAATTGTTTGTTTGTCATCTCCCAGCCTCAGCTCAAGTTGCAGACTTGTTTACAAAGCCTCTCTCTGCTGCTAGTTTTTTGCCTCTTAAATCCAAGCTCAATGTAGTGTCTCCTTGCTCCATTGGCTTGAGGGGGTATTAAGACAGCTCATTAAGTTGCAAATTAGTTACTGAGAGGATAGTTTAGTTAAATATATCAGTATGCTGTTATGAGTTTAATAATTCTGTTTTAAATAGTTTGGGAGTCTCTGTATTTATCAAACTATATTTTGGCAGAAGGATATAAATACTTCTGCTTTTGATCACTTTTAAAAAATAAGATGAGATTTATTTTGTGATCATCCATATGAGAGTATTTTTTTTGTCTGCATATAACTCACTTTTAATTGACATATACTAAACAAAATAAATAAATAACCCAAGAATAAGTCGACTCTTTTAAAAAATAGAAAAAATATTTTATTTTCTACCTTCCTTCTTCAAAATTTATACAATGTACCTCTTAATCCAGCATTGTTAACCAAAGCATCGATGAAACCAAAAGAATCCCAAGCTTTTTTCACGCACTTCTCGATAGTCTTTCCATCCGAGCTAACGTCGAGCTCCACTGCCACAGCACGGTGGCTCTCCGCCGCGGCATTGGACGAGGCAGGGGCGGAGGATACCAACAAGGAACTGGAGAAATCTAGTCCATTAATTTCGTCGCAGAGAGATCGGAGTTTATCGATACGGCGAGCAGCAGCGATGATTTTGCATCCAGCTCTAGCAAGATCCACACAGAACTCCCGCCCCAGCCCCGTTGAGGCTCCGGTCACCATCACCACTTTTCCGGTCAACTCGTTCCACGGCTCCACCGGAGCAGAATTATCTCGCCGGACCGCCATTTTTTCCAGTATCCGTCAGATGAAGAAGCTGCAGAGTTTTCCAACGGAAGAAGTGGGGGAGAATTAGCCGGCGGGTTTGTTAGAGCAACATGTTGCGATGTGTGAAATTGGAAATAAATAACGGTAACAAAACAAACGCAAGTTATTATAAAATGTTTGAGATTCAAAAATTTATTTTCATCTATGTTTTACTTTTTCTATTCTCAAAATACTTTTATTCATTTTAATCTTTATAATTTTCGATGGTTCAATTTTGAAAAGTGACCGTTCTGGTCCTTTCATTTCGGTTTTTAATCTTATTTTTTCTATCGCAATTTCACCACAACATCATTTTCAATAATTTTTATGAAATGCAGTTATAACTTTGTATGGAAGGGTTTTCGTTGTGTTTAGAATTTTTGTTAAAAGTTTTCAAATAGGAATCTTAAATATAATGACTGCAACAAATATTTTTAAAATACATGGACAACGGTCCAAAATTTGTTATCTAGATTCACCCCTATTTGTATACAAAATTATTTTAGTCTAACTTTTTATTAGTAATTTTATTAAGATCTAAGATCTTGCAAACTAAACTATTATTTGGAACTTTTCTTTTATCATTACAAGTGGGGTGGGAATTCAAAGTCACGATCTTTTGTCGGAGATATATATCTAAATCAATCGAGACAAAACTTATACACTAAAATAGAATATTTGAAAATTTACGATCTAAAAGGAAATAAGGTTGAAAATTTAGAGTCTATAATAAGATTCAACATTTATTAAAAAAGAATGTCTTTCAACTGTTTTTTGTAGTTGTCACTAAATTTTAAAAAAAAATTAAGAGAACTCAATTAATTATTAAATATAATAACATAATTTGAGTATTGTATTATGTTAATTATGTCTAAATTTTTTATTTAATTTCTATAAAATATTTTATTGTTAACACAAATTTTGAAACGTTGACATAATTGTTTATTGAAACAACTTTCATTGAATAAAAAAAACATGTGGGAATTTTGTATAAACAAACATTATTGATGTGTACAATATATTCTCAATGATCCTACTTTATGTACAGTTATTACTAGTTTAAAATATAAAACTACTTTGTCCAGCAAAAGATTCCCAGATCTGATTTACTAATATTTTCTTTTGTCTTTTTTAAAAAAACAAGTTGATTGTTTATATTTTAATCAATATTTTAATATAATATTTTCTGTTGTCCTTTGTTTGTGTGGAAATTAACATTTTTTTACTCCCAAAGTTGTTTGGATTGAATTTTTTTACCCTTTTCAAATTTTTAAGTTTTTCTGACCCTCCAATATGGTTTTTTAACCTTATTGTTATTATTATTTTGGTGAAAGTTGGATTACAAAATCACTCTTAAATTATTTAACTCTCGATTATTTGAATAAAAAATATCAAATTTGTATTGGGTCGAATTAAAGAGCACGAAAGATGGAATGAAACTTTACGAGAGCTTTTCTCGAGATTTGGGAAGAAATTCATGTGATTCCAAAAAAAAAAAAGTCTGACTTGATAAAAAGAATAAATATTGAAAAATGAATGCCAGATATGGGAGAGCGTTTTTTGTATGCTAAAATTGAATGGAACAAATTTTAGGCCAAGATTCATTATTGAAATTGCATAGAAGTTGAAGATGTTGGAGTTTGAACGGGTGAAAGTAACTGATTTTGATAAATAATTGATAAACCGTTGGATATTTACGAATTTAACATCTGGAAATTGTAACTATTAATTCACATTTTACATGTTGTTTATCAATTGTTTTAGTTGTTATGTTTCTTCATTTTATTGAAATTGAAGTTATATCTTTAATTAATGAGTTTTTTCTTTTGATTTTGTTAAAGTTACAAAGTTACACATTTGTAACTTTATTTGTGTTAAAAACTTGTGAGATGTTACTTGTTTTGGACAACTATATATAGTTGTTATTTTACTTCATTTTGAAATATTCAAGCATACCTCAATTGAGTATTCACCTCCTCTCACAAGAATTCTCTCTTATTTTTGAGTTATTGTTCTTGTTTGTGTTAAGAGCAAGTGTGAGTTCTACTCCTACGATGATGGGATCAACCATTGTCAAATCAAATGCTGAAAAACCGGAGAAGATGATCTTCTACCTCACCACTCTAAATCTTACTCACATCCTAAAGGAGATATGCCCAACTACTCCCCTAGAAGCAATCACTCCTGAAACTGAAGCTGCCAAGCAAGCGTGGTTGCATTCAGACTTTCTATGTCGCGACTACATCCTGAATTGCCTGGATGATACCTTGTAGAATGTCTACTGCAATGCTTTTGATACTTCAAGGCAATTGTGGGAGGCATTAGATAAGAAGTATAAGTTGGAAGATGCTGGTACTACGAAATTCTTTGTTGGAAAATTCTTAGATTATAAAATGGTTGATACCAAGTTGGTAGTCAACCAATTGGAAGAATTGGAAATTATCATCAGTGATTTGCAAAGTGAAGGATTGGTTATTAATGAACCATTCCAAGTTGCTCTTGTGATTGAGAAGTTGCCTCCTGCTTGGAGAGAATTCAAATGTTATCTCAAACACAAGCGAAAGGAGTTGTCCATGGAGAATCTTACTGTGAAACTCTGCATTGAAGAGGACAACACAAAGGGAGATAAAGAGCCACGTAAAGTTGAAGCTAATGCCCATATTGCTGAAGCTTCAAGKCGTCATCCCAAGAATAATCAAGCAAAGACGAAGAATGTGAATCTTGGGCTAAGGAATGACGCTAACAAGCGCATTCGTGCAATCTGCTGGGTTTGTGGCAAGAGTGGCCATATAGCTGCAAATTGTAGACACAAGAAGGGACAAAGCTCCAACAATCAAGCCAACATTGTGAAAGATGACAATTTAATTGTTGTCATCTCTGAGGTAAATATGGCCTCTGAAACCAAAGGCTGGTGGATTGATACTGGTGCTACTAGGCAGGTCTGTGGGGATAAATCACTATTCACCACTTATGAGAAGCTTGATGGCAGTGATAAACTGTACATGGGAAATGCTTCAACAGCCTCAGTGGAAGGCAGAGGAAAAGTCCTGCTGAAATGGACTTTTGGAAAGATACTTACCCTCACTGATGTGTGACATGTGCCAGAGATTCGAAACAATCGTCTTGTGTCAGGAACCCTACTTAACAAAAATGGGTTCAAGCTTGTATTTGAGTCATATAAGTTTATTCTGACTAAGGGGGTATGTACGTGGGAAAGGACTATCTGAATGATGGCATGTTCAAATTAAATGTACTGGCACAAGTGTCCAAGAACAACAATAATAATAACAACTCTTCTGCTTATATTGTTGAGTTGTGTGATGTATGRCATTCTAGGCTGGGGCATGTCAATTATCATTCTTTACAAAGAATCGTAAGTGTAGGACTATTGCCTAATTTTAACATTGATAATAAACACAAATGTGAAGTTTGTGTTGAATCAAAGTTTTCTAGAAAGTTATTTTCGTCTGTGAAAAGAAGTAATGAGTTACTTGATTTAATCCACAGTGATATATGTGATTTGAAAAATACTCCCACAAGAGGTGGTAAGAGATACTTTGTCACATTCATTGATGATTGTAGTAAATATTGCTATGTATATTTATTACATAGTAAAGATGAGACCTTAGATGTTTTCAAAACATATAAGGCAGAAGTTGAAAATCAACTTGAGAGGAAAATAAAAGTGCTTAAATCAGATAGAGGTGGTGAATATGAATCATCATCACTTTCTGAATTTTGTGAAGTTAATGGTATAATCCATCAAACTACAGCACCTTATACACCACAACAAAATGGTATAGCTGAAAGAAAGAACCGAACTTTTAAGGACATGGTTAATTGCATGTTAAATAGTTCATGTTTATCCCATAATTTGTAGGGGGAGGCTTTGCTTACAGAAAATTTTATCTTAAATAAAATTCCACGTAAGAAGACTAATAAGTCACCTTATGAAATGTGGAAAAAGAAGTTACCCTCATATAAAATACTCAAAGTGTGGGGGGGTTTGGCAAAGGTACAAGTTTCTTTACCAAAAAGGGCAAAACTTGGATCTAAGACAGTTGATTGTGTCTTTATAGGCTATGTTATGCATAGTGTTGCTTATAGATTCCTGGTAATTAAATCAGAAATACCTGATATTAATAATAATACTATTATGAAATCTATCGAAGCTGAATTCTTTGAAGATATATTTCCTTTTAAAGAAGAAATACCCAAAGGTAATGGTACAAAAAGAAATCATGAGACTAGCTCTTCAAAAGGTCAAAACAATCAAAAAACTGAGATCGAACCTTGAAGAAGCAAAAAAGCTAAGAAAACTACTTCTTTTGGACCTGATTTCATGACATATATGATAGATGGGGAGCCTCAAAATTTTCAAAAAGCTTAGTCATCTCCAGATGCACCTTATTAGAGAGAAGCTATCAATAATGAGATAGAATCTATTTTGCAAAACAATACCTGGGTATTGGTTGATTTACCTCCTGGAACTAATCCAATTGGAAGTAAACGGAGTTTCAAAAGAAAGCTAAAAGCTGATGGCACTATTGATAAATATAAAACCCGTTTAGTAGATAGAGGCTATCATCAGAAAGAAATGCTAGATTTCTTTGATACCTATTCTCTATTGACGAGGATTACATCTATAAGGATGTTAATCGCTATAGCAGCTTTACGAAATTTGGAAATACACCAAATGGATGTAAAAACTGCGTTTTATATGAAGATTTAGATGAAAAAATCTATATGGAACAACCAGAAAGTTTGTTGTAGAAGGACTTGAAAATAAGGTTTGTAAACTTGTCAAGTCTCTTTATGGGTTGAAACCAGCACCCAAACAATGTTATGAGAAGTTTGATCACACTATGTTATCTAATGGATTTAAGATAAATGAGTGTGATAAATGTGTCTATGTTAAAACCATAGATTAAGATTGCGTCATTGTTTGCTTATATGTGGATGATATGTTGATAATGTGCAACTAGAAGTGTCATTGATTCCACTAAAAGGATGTTGAATTCCAACTTTGATATGAAAGACCTTGGTCTTGCTGA